GATTGCCACCTCTTAGACAACTGGGGATTCATTCTGCATCCTATCTCCATCTCCCAAAGAGAATTCAAAGAGAAGACTGATCTTTCTAATAAAAAGCTTCGTAATGGCTGGAACAAAAGGATAGCTATGCAATTGGAAATTTCCACTAATAAATATCTGAATTATGCATCTGTTAGTCTATTGGAAGACAATTACAGTGTTGTTTTCCTCACCATCTAATTAATACACTAATGGCTTTGTTTACAAAACAGGCTAGAGGCTATAATAAATTTAATTGCATTTCATAATCTGTGGCCAGATTTCTCTTAAACACAAATAAAAATGAAAAATGCCGTAGTGTCCATTTTAAAAAGGTCTTGTATAGCCCCAGTAAAATGTGGCTGAAACTAAGACTTCATTTTTATGTGTATGTCTTTATTAATCTCCATATTGTAAAGGAGTTTAGCTTTTAGTGGCCACCATCAAGCCAAAAGTACTTCAAGGGTATCTGTCTAGTATATGGCACCATAAAACACTTTTAATGGCGGATTATGAAATAAGAAGAATGTTATTAACTTTGCACCTATTAAAATCAAGCCAGAGAGGGCTGGGAGCACCTTTGAGAAGGGTAAGGGAATTCAAACTATTTTTTACAAATTGAAGCAATGACTTGAAATAAAAAAGACACCATTTAGTAGTGGCAAAGTGCTGCCCCTAGTTGTCCAGCTCTACCTGAGCAGAAGGTCCAGGTTGGACTAACATGCCTGGTTTGGGCATCACTCCAAAGAGGCGAGAGCCAGCTGGAGACTGAGGAACAAGAATGATCATGGGCCTGGAAAGCATGAATTAGATATAATGCTCAAAAGAAGCACATTTATTCTTTTAAAGAAAAGAGTTCTTCAGGTTCATGTGATAATGGTCTTCAAATACATACAACCCTGCCTCACGGGTTGTATGTATTTGTATTTCAAGCCTACTACAGGCTACAGCAGGGAGATGTTAAATATTAGGAAAAACCTTCCTGGGAACTTCCTTCCCTAAAGACTTCAGCAACAAATTAGGGAAAACTGGTCAGAAGTGGTTAGGTATATTTGACTCTGCCTGGATGATGATCTCTTTAGGTCCCTTCTAGCCTGAGGTTTAATGACCATATGGTTGAATTATGTGCTCTAAGCGCCACCGACTTCCGCAAAACTGCTGAACGTTAAAACATATGATTAAATGTTTTGTCAAGTCAGGGCTAAAAACTGAGACTGTCCTTAATCTGCCTATTGCCTGCTGCCTTCAGGATGTCCCAAGCCATGTGGTACCCATAGGAGTGCAGAAGTCATAGCTCCCTCCAAGCTTGCATACATGCAGGGACAGTGGGTAAGTCTATAGGTTTTCACTGGCATATCTGTCCTGAGAAGTGAACAAAGATGTAGCTGAAACCAAGTCTCAATCAAGCTTGTGATGGGGTGTGAAGAAAAGATATTATTTTTGCAATTTTAACAACAGGAGTTATTTAAAATCTTCTCCTTCCTCCATCTCTGAGTGATCGTTGGAAGTTATAACTGCATAAATCAATACAAAAAGGCATGTGTTCAGGCATGGACCTGATTTTCAGTCTACCTGTGCTCAGCCATCACCTACATGAACTGATTTCACAACAATGACTCTAACCCCGTATGTTCAATACATTTATTTCAGAGCTGTCTAAAATAATCTTGATTTAAATCCAAAATAACTGACCTGGGGCAGATAATCATCTGAAACAGAGGACTTAAATTAAAAGGAAATTAAAGAACAAAGACAAGAGCAATAAAGTTCAGGAGAGATGATTTATGAAGGCTGAGGACACCTGACCTACATCCCTGTCCTCTGCAAAGCAGTGCTTGGTGGGATATGAACCAGAGATGACATACTCGTTCCCTGTTCCAATGTATTATTGAGGCACCTGGATCCCAAAACAGATGATGCTCAACTGACACAGTGCTGAGAAGCTGAGTTGCAAAAAATAGTGGATGCATCTGTTAATCTGTGCTATTAAAAAACAAGAAGTCACTCCTACTGTTTTCTTTCTGCCCTGCTAAGGGAGGTGTCCACCAGCTGGGCGAGACGTGTCCCCGGAGCAGCTTGTGCCTACTTGGCAGCCCTCCGAAATGCAGGAGGGCTGTCCTAGGAATGTGGCACTGGCTGGCCCTGGGCAGACTGTGGTCTCTCCAACCCGCCTGTTTGCTTTTCAAACATTGAGGATCACACAGGTCCTGCTGTAAGTGAACAAAAGCCTTTATTTGCTCTTGTTCCAGTGGCAGAGCTGGTCCTCGTCTAAAATAGCACAGATACTACTCAGCTGGTTTCCCTCCTCGAGAGAAGCCTGGTTAAAAGCTGATTACATAGTCCAGTTGGGAATGAAGAAGGAGAACAGCATCCGTAAGGACAAGGCATATTGCAAGAGGCATCAGGTAGCCATCAAAAAACTGAGTAAATGACGTACAACACCAATGCAAATATGTTGGAAATGTCTTGACATACAAAAAATAAAACTACCTAGTAAAGTGAGACAAGAAAGATATTCCACATGTAATCTCCATAGAATTGAAAATTATTTAAATTTTAGGCTGTCTCACCTAAAAGCCATGTACTTGTATACGAATGCATTGAAGGGGTGACCTCTCCAAACAGCCAGCATTCATAGAGGTGTCTGGAAAACCAGCGTATATTGATACAAACCACAGCTGGAAATTACAATGCAGGCCAATGGGAGCGTTATACCTTCTTGGCCACCAAGACCCAAACTAAGCCCGAGACATTCCAGTTTCCAACCAGACACCACCAGTTGCCCTCTTGAAGGATATGGAGATGCCCCAGGGCGGGGGCTTGCCCACAGTGGCCAAGGTTAAGCTATAAAAATCCTGTTCTTTGCAATGTACTTTATTTATTTGATCAATTTTGCTCTTGGAAAACACAAAAATGTGAATGAATTCTAGGAACAAATTTCAATGCTGCTGTGCACCAGCAGGCTACTGTACACACTCATGCAATAAAAGGGTCAATTCCTCTGATACATTTTGCATTAGTTCATATTATAGCCTTAAATTATAAAACATATTTTTCATGGAGAAGATAGAAACATGAGGCAGCAATTCAAGGCTCAGTTTTGACACAAAAGAATATTTTCTTGTTTTCATAACAAAATTTCCCTCGGAGGTAAAGAAAAATAGTAAAATCTGAAGTGTTAAGCTAAACTTTTAAATATCTTTTATCCTTCTGTGTGTAATTCAGTATTATTTAAGAACTACAGAAAATGACCTTAACCAGCACTTTCTTGCTTAGGAGAAGGGGACCCACCCCTGAAGAAAACCCCTGTGAGGCAATGGAAACATTTCTCCCATCAGTAGCCTTCTGCAGGGCTTCTTGTTCCTCACACCTGGACAAGTGTCACGCATGGATAAGATTTGTTTTTTGTCAACATGTTAAAGCTTCCAAATTAACTCTGTGAGCAGCCAGAGGTAGAGGACTGGCCCATGGTCATCAATAGCACAGTCCAATTTGTTTGTGTATCTGTGCGGTGTGACGGTTCCATAAACAATCCTCATGAAGACAAATGCATGCACCTTCTCAGGAACATTCTGAGGTTTTTCAAAGCTTGACAGCATGCATCAAAAAAGCCTTAAAAATGAAAACAAACCTCAAAAGGTCCTCCACAAGATTCAAAACAAGGCCCAAACTGGTGCGTCCCTCACTACAGGTCACTTCAGGTGGCGAAGCCAGCGGTGATGTTAATTTAGGAGACAAATCTCCTGAGCTTTATGCTATTGTCAACAGAGGGGGAAGGGCCTTTGAAAGGGAGGTTGAGTGCAACCTGAATTAAACTCCTATTCTAAAGCATCCTCCACAGCAGATGACTATAGAAGGAGTGGGGCAAGGACAGCCTTCCTAGGCTACGGGTGAGCTCCCGTGACCGTCTTCCAAAACAACAGTTGCTAATATCAAATAAATAAATAAACAAAAAACCAAACCCAAACCCCAGGAAGGGACCAGCATTGTCACGGAAAATGCTTTCCTCCACATGATTTTACATACATCCAAACAGGAAAAGTCAGAAATAAATCACATGGAAGAGCAAGTTGCACTTCTAACACACAATTTACCTGTTACGTCACAAATAATCACCAAAACACTTGATTTTGCCAGTTTTCCAATTCCCAGCACTACGGGCGTGTTTGGCTCCCACAGGGTTACGGAGTGGGGATTTCCCCAAAGTTTTGTGATGGCAGCGGTAACTGTTCACTTTTCTGCCCCTAACTTACAGGAGTTCCTAACATACTCTACTGGTGTCCGGTATCAGAAGCTCCTCCATGGTCAGCACTGTGATGTAAAGTAAGCTCTGTCTTTCCATTATAAGTTTTTATATTTACATGATATTACAAACGGGTCACGCAACGGCTGCCATTTCAGTCTCCTCCTGCTCAGGCTTTGTTTTAAAACAGACTACAGAGCTCTAAGCCCAAGCAGAGCAAAAAGCAAGCTCAGATTTTTCCCCTTCTCTAAAATTCTGAAAAAAATAAGTAGTTTTCTGTGAAGTGTTGTCATAGTTCAGACACTGAATACACAGCTTTTGTGATATCCAAGTCTATCTCTAGACCTGAATTAGAAACTGCTTAGAAGAGACACCATACCGTTACTCCAGTTTTGGCTAAGTAAGATTTTAGGTTGCTCTTTCAATCTTAGCACTCAACAGCCGCACAACTATTCAGGTTATTTTTAAAAGGCAATCAATGCCATAAACATAGGACCACTTGGAGAGAGAAGACATGTGCTCCTCTTTCAACCTAGTACATAAATTCTTCTTCGTTACTGCAAAGCATTTATTTGTGCTTTTTTATTTACTGGAAAATGTAATTCAGCTTTCTTCAACCATTGAAAAATATATAATCCCATCACATAATTTTCTTCTAGTTATTTAGGTGTAATAACAAAGAAAAATTTAAAGACTCATAACACAGTATGCAAACTTCAAAGAAGAAAAGGTTACCTACCAGCTCAACTCGTCCAAACCCTCCGACTCCAAGGGTGTCAATGATGTTGAAATCAGACAGTTTCAGGTTGGCGAAGAAGGCAGCTTCGGCTTCGTATCTGGATTTTTTTATGCGAAAAAACGGAAATTTCTTAGAGGTGCAAACATGAGTACTGCGCAATACCGTACCCGAATGGCATGAGTGTGGAACAGCCTTTACCTGCTTAATTTCCATCTTATCTCTTACAGTTTGCTTTTATTCACACTCATCGTTTTGCTGGTCCCAATTATAGCACTGCTCCAATGTGCACGGTTTTCCAAGTGAGAAAAGCAAACATGCCTACAATGCAAATGCCTGGTACTGCAATTCAGCTCCAGCTACCCAGCAAATGCTACATTTTGATATTTTCTATTGATCTTCTTGTGGGTGGGTTTTTTTTGGTGTCTTTAAGTATTTTTAGAAGATAAAGTCTCTCACAGGAGTTTCTCTTATCCACAGGCTGGCAGTAGTTTCTATAAATGTTTATTGAAAGTGGCAAGATCATTAAGGTCCCTGGAGAGAAATCACAGCCAGGTTTTATGAAATCAGATCCGATAAGCTGCGGGCTGGTGTGCAAATGCCTGAAATGAATGACTTCAGTCACATATCAACATTCCTATAAGAACATCTTCACTTCTTTTCCTCCTATAAACTCACTTGGAGTAGACGTCCCAACCCAGGAGGTTCCAAAATCCAGATGCTCTCTCTTAAGCCCATGTCCAACTGGCTTGCAACACAAGTTCACCAAGCCCTTGACTAAGGAAGCATGCAAATCGAACACATGCAAGCCTGCCAAAATAAGCTTCCCATGACTATCCTCATGAATATGATTCCTCTAAAATAGCTCCTTGTCAAGGTTTATGGTATTTTTAGAAAGGCTCGGAGGGGAAATGGATGAACTGGATCCACCCACTCAATAAAGTCTGACATTCAGCTGCTGGAGAAGTCCCTGTGCATGTACAACCTTTGGCCGCTGGTGACACAGACTTGTATGGGAAAAGAGCATTGACGGGATTATGGAGAGAGGCATGGAGGCTGTAAAGGGGGAGTCGGCTTGGTTTTCAGTACTTAATTTTAGCCATAATATCTTGCAATGAACAGATAGACCATAATCCGCTATTTCACCTGGATGCTTCATTTGTGCATGATAACGCTAGTGTTAAGATAAAACATCACAGTGTTAGCCACAATCATAGATATGTATCCGTCTGTCTATCTTTTTAACATACCTTGTCCATCATGCCTGTCTCTAATTCAATAATGGGATGGAATTGATTTACTGACTTATTCCCTTCAAACCACCTTCTTTAGTCTATTTAAAACTGCAATGACATTGGGGGAGAAAGAGAAAAAAAAATTTTGAAGTTAAAAGGGCAAAATAAAAAGAAGTGTCAAGAAAGGTGAAAGGTCACGTCATCAAGCCCCAAATCCAATGCAACAAAGCACAATTTTATCTCGGGGGTGCTGTTGACAAATTACTTAAGCTCTGCTTTATTATTTATACTGTCACCAGATCCTCTCGGTGACCTTGCTCCTGTGGCCACAGCAGCCTGATGCATCTGATTTTGGAAACTGATCAGTACCGAGCCTGCTTTGAACTTGGGATAACCTTGTGTAACACAGCTGCTTATCGATCGCTTTATACTCATCATGAGGTGCATACTAAACCTGTCACCAAAAACCTCTGCTAAAGGAAAGACATATTTATACGTTCCCCTAAATCACAGCAGACACATCATTTTAGGGGTGACAGAACAATGAGATGAGTCTAATTTTCATGATAAATGTAATATATCATGATAATGTAATGTAATTTATCGTGGTAATGTAATTTATCATGGTAATGTAATTTTCATGATAAATGTATAGACAGCACATGAGTTATCTTTCGCATTCCTGACCAGTTAAATACCCTTAATGATTTATAATTGCTAGGAAGATGAAATCCCATCATGGAAAATTTTCTTTCAACAGTCAAACAACGGATACAAAACTTCAGGTCAAGAAGCTCTGCATCACCGTTGCCCAAGGCTTGGAGCCTCCCTTCTTGATGGAAGGAGGCAGGAAAGAAAATGTGGAAGGAAGCCATCTCATGTTCCCAGGGAGGCAGGGGACCAGCTTCCCAGTCTTCTCCCCTGGGCAACTAGTGAGGATTTCTCAATGCTGAGCAAGCAGGCCATGAGAGATGGCAAACAGCAGTGTGTCAGAAGGGTTAGGGTCTCCAAAAACATATGGAATAGAGACGGGAAATGTTTTTTCTTTCCCCTATAACACCTCTTATGCTGAAAGATGGCTAAGTCCTACAAAAATGTATAGTTCGCATCATGCAATGTGAGAGGACAAAAACTAGGTAAGACATGGCACGGTGCTGGCAAGGCAAGCAGGACCATAGTCCCAGCCCCTGCAAATTCCACCAATTCTCCTGAAAATCCCTAAGTTCGATGGGAGATGGGATCTGCCACTCCAGTCCCAACTTCACTGTTTTTGTGTGTTGAGTTGCAGAAGCTGAAAGTTCTGCTGATGGCTTTTAAAGTAAAAAAATGTGTTCATTTATTATTTTGCTTTAAAAATGTACTTGCAGCATTATTGTGATTGCTTTTTGAAATCTCTTGGCTAATTCTCTTTGACAGACTGCTTATGTGTAGTTAGTACATACAAGTGCAATGAAGCATATAAAACAAATTGGATGCAGTTTTCTACATACTGTGCAACAGGCATCCAAAAAACAAAAGAAATTCCGAAAATATATAGTGAAACCAAAATGCATGTAAAATCAATCAAGGCAGCCCTTCACATGCTTAATAACAACAGTCACGTCTGAATTCTGTTTTATTCCCAGCTACAAAGGTCAAAGTCCACTTTCAAATCAAAATCCTGTAAATTAACCAGAGTTATGCACTTCAGCCCTGCAAAGCTTAAGAATAAATCTCTTCAGTCACTTAAATAAAAACACTGAAATGCAAATATTCCCAAGCCATCTCCTAAATGAGAAATCAGGGCATAATCCTCATCCTGAAATTTAGAATATGAATTCAACTTCTGTCCTTCAACTTCCTTAATTTGAGCATGCCGCTCCCTAAACAGAAACTCCTAGGGTTTTGTGATCATCGCTCAACAAAATTACAGTGATAAAACATATGTGATATCTTAATTTTATCACCTCCAAAAGAAAAGGGACCCTTTCAAGGCATTGGGAGGACAGTACAAAGAAGTACAGAAGAAGTTTAAAAACTAATGTTGGTGTGTCTGTAGGAAAATGTTATGTTCTGGACCAGGGTGAAGGAATCTGCTACACTCAGATACTGGGGAGGATGCTTGGGATATTCCCTTGGAATATAACAGAGATGGGATGAATGGTAGAGACAGTTCGACCACACTTGTGCAAGATGACCTGGAAATAACTCAGCACTCTGTGGGAAAAATACATGTGTGCCAGGTCAGGGTGTATTTCTTCTGGGTACCACTTTGCAGATGCCACAGCCTCTTCCCATCTGGTACTTAACAGTCTAATGAGAAAGGCAGTTATATTCTAAATATGCAGCCGTATGCTGGTGCCCTCAGACTTTTCAAACAAGCAAATGATTTTTTGACCTCTGGAAGAGTTGGTGATTTAAGTTCCTAAATTAATAGATAAGAGGTGTATTGGGAAGATATCTCAGGCAAGCTCGGAGGCATGAATGCCGATCAGCATCACACCCATGTTCAGTGTCATTCTGGAGCTACGCAGATGCAAGGCTCAAACTTTCTATTCTGAGATTTCTGGGATTTTCTGACTCTAGTTGAATTAGAGATAATTAAGAAAGAGCCTTTCTCTGTATATTTTGGTAATTGTGCTTCTTGTCCCAGCTATCACAGGCCAAAATGCCTGGAAAATCATAGCTGGAAGTGCACAAAAAGAAAAGATACAGAGAACGTGTCATCCAAATAGGGAGAAACAACAAAAGAGCTTTTAAAATTAAGGCTGGGATTTTCACAGGAGCTTGTGGGAGGCCAGGTATCAACTCCCAATGCACTCTTAATGGGACTTTTTTGCTTATTGAAACCGGGTTTCGTCACCTACCCTACCAAACTAACCCTGCCAGAGCTTACAGTCCACTCCTGTAATTAACAGGAGAGGTATCTTCTCCATAGGCGATGTCAGAAAACATTATGGAGGAGGAAATGCTCAGATCTAGGTCAAACATGAGTATACTGCAGAATCTCCCAAGCTCTTCTCCAAGGTTTCTTGCAAATCTGAATGACAGATGTACCTACCGAAATCTCACTCAAACTACTGGCTTTCCATAACAATCTTGCCCTAATGAGTATCAGTGCCCTCCTATGGAAGAGCTGGGGCTTGGGACCACCATTTCTTTCTCTCATTCCAAATAAAATACATACTCTTTTAAGGAGCCGATAATTAAAATGCCTTGATTCAACCTCCTCTTCGGCATGGACAGGCATCACATGCAAGAAACCAAAGTAATCAGGGGAATCAGGAGTAAATACCATCGTCCACATGTCCCATTACTTTGAAACAGCAATGCAGAAGCCACAGCCCAAGCATTTGGGCAATGCCTGTTATGCAGAATGGGAGAGGAAAACATGTGGCTTCTTGCACTGCTGGAGGTTTCCAACCATTTAAATGAGTGATTGCCTCCTAGGACAACAATTACTCCAAAACACATTTCAAGCTTTTCCTCCCAAAACTACAAATACAGAAGAAAAGAGAATCACCTTACCTAGGCAGCTAAAAAGGATAAAGGAGAAAATGCGAGGAGAAAAGGTTTGCAATTACCCAACTGCTCAGTTTTACTAAACTAGCTCACGATTCCTATCACATGAGCTAAATGTGTTGGGAAACATTAGACATCTGTTACCAAACTGTCATCTTGATGGAAAACTTGGCTTCTTTCCACCTGTGCGCTGCCAACTAGACATAAATTGCAACCAAATGGGAATCAACCACCAACTCCCTGATAAGAGCGAACGTAACCATTTTGGGTGGATAAAAACAGAATTTCAGAGCCTTCCTCAGTGACAGACACCTGCTTGTTTAACAGCTATTTTGTCAGTTTTGTTGGCTGGCCCGGTCACTAT